AATTTTTGTTCAATAAAAATCTTTCAAATGTGACTGTAGCTTTTTTTCCCCAAAACTTTGTCTTCAAAATAAGGGTGTGTCTTATATTCCGAAAAATACGGTAAGTCCATTGAACCAACCCTGTATTGGAGAAGGAATGTTACTATAATTCTAAATTTACTATGTGTATTTACATACATGGTAGCAAACTTTTAGCAAAATGTACAAATCTGTTGTACAGAAAAAATCAGATGTGTTACAAATGTACTTGTCTCAAAATATATCAGTGAACTGATGATATCAGTCTGACTTGGACAAGTCAGAGTGCAAGGTGATGTTCTTGTGAATAACAAAAATACTTTTGTCTACCGTACAGTTTGTGTATTGCACTTGCATAACCTCTAGAACCTCCAAAATGCATATTTAGTTTTTTTCAGCATCTTTGTATGATGTGTTTGGTATTTACTCTCCACCATGAACTACTGCTAAATCAGCAATGAAGAGTAAAATGAACAGTTGATAACTCTGACATCTATATAATAATATGCTTGTTTTTGTGTTTGTTATGGAAATGGTGTGCGCGCACATGTGTATTTAGATAGTAAGGTGCACAATTTTTCATGACAGACAAAAGCTGAGTTTTATTATAATAGACTAGCAGAGACCTGCAAGACACTTGCACTCAGATTAATGTCTTTACTGCAACAGTACTTCTTTAAATACAGGATTTCCAGAATAATACAAAGGAATTCTAATCGCAGACACCAAAATCTTTTCATTCTATAATTCTGCTGTTGGTACATCTTATAAGCAAGCGCAGTAAGAATTTTACCCAGAAAAACAGTGCAAGTGCCTGCCTGCACCAGAGAGGTGGAAATCTCAATGAACAAGTCACTACAACTGCTCTATGAATGAAGGGGTATCAAAAAAGGTGAATGTAAATATTATTTAGTATAATAACATTAAAAGCTTGAAGTTTTCAAAAAGGACTGATGTTAAGTCCTAGAATAACATTATAAGTTAATTTATAGATAGTATTACGTATATTTTAGTATTAACTAAGCTAATGTAAAAAACGTACACAGTCCAGTGTTAATTTATCTATTTATCGAACTTAGTCCTAATGTTAGCTAAGGTTTTATAAAGTATGACCTAAATACAAGTGGCCTTGCACGTTTCAATATCTACAATTACATTTCATTAGTATTATTAGACAAATCTTGTATTTAAACAAATACTGTTGCAATAAAGATATTAAACTGACAGCAAACATTTTGTGGGTCTCTGCTGGTCAAATACATACCATGTTGAATGGTACCCTGTAAAATAGCATGACATGCACACTTTGAACCCCATCTGTGCACACAGGGTTAAATGTGTCTTAAAAATATAAGTTCCCAAACAAAGTAAAGTGTCTGTCAGAATTTTATACAGTTAATAGGACAATAATGGTGGGAAACAGGTCATAAAGAAAACTTGTTCTTTAAAAATATATGCAGAATGTAATGCCACAGATGTAATCAATCAACATTTCTAATTTACTATATTATTAAAGATATGTATATACTTACACAAAGGTGCACACATACTGACTCAAATCTTTCACAAACTGTATCACTTTTTGTAACTAAAGTATCAACTAATCCTGTAACACCAAAATGTTCTGGATTACATAAATACTTACATTTTTAGAACTAAAATGGAATTCAAATAGATATTTAACTACAGATGGGTGACAAACAATTAATAGGAAATACTTCTTCCTATTCCTTTCGATCATCTTGGAATGTATTTTACGTTATAATTGTTCCTTAAACATTAAGCCATTCATTTCATACTTTTTTTTTATTAAAATGTTCCATTCAGTGAATGAGTAAGATCTTTAATAAATGACTGATTTTACTTTTAGAAATTACCACAGGTAGAAGTGGATATTAGTGGGATGGGAAAAATTTGGGTCCAACTAAAATATATCTACTTAAATTTTTCTTCAATTCTAAAAGTGCAGAATGACAGAAAGCAAAGTTATTGAGAAATATGAGATGCATGACTTGCAGATAGTCATTGTAGTAATACAAGTAATAAGTATTGTCTATACGTAAAAGAAAGATAGAGGAAAGTAACCACTGGAGCAATTATACAGTGAGCTGTACTGCTGGGTAAAATGAACCGATGGTGCAACATTGTAGTATGGTTCCTATCTATCTCAAGATAACTTCTTTATAATGCTTAGTAAACTTGATTACATAGAATACGATAGAAGACAAAGAAATAAAAAAAGAGTAAAAAGAAATAACGCTTTGGACAAAACCAACTAATAGCACTGTTATCGTCAAAAGAAGGAACATAAAAAGCATCTCACATCCTTGTATCAAAGTTACTGCAGATGTTACTGTATCTGGACACTTTTCATAAATGGAACATTGCATAGATATTCACATCATGAAATGCATCACAAACTTGTAGAAGGTGAAGGTGACTGTATAACAGCATATCATAATAATATAACTTCTATCAATGTTAATAGGCACCCTATCCAGCATGTACTATTTGTTCTACTATGGATTACTTCTGCCTTTTTGTTCAGCCTTCCCAGCTACGTAGTATTTGCTATGTAGTACTAAATAGTGACATGGTAGTGGTTTGGTAATGTCCAAATAATACATAGCATATACATTGTAATAACATAACTTCATAACATCGTGCCACTAAGTAGTAACTACATAATAACATTACATTTTATATATGTAGTCAGAATGTAACTTTACAACATATGTAGCTAGTGTTATTAATTAACAGTAACATGAGAATATTACATTGCATACAAAAAGCAAAAAGTATATCACCTGGTAGTGTAACTCATAGGCTATTACGTATTCCACATGTAGTATTTCTTTTGGGGTTTAAATATTAGTTTCGTATATTTAATGTCACATTCAAATAAAAATATTATTAATTCCAATTTATTTGGCTATATTTGATGTAATTTGGATAAGTGGGAAACTTCAGGAATGATACATGTAGCTCAATTACACTTTACACTCAGTTTGAATAAGATCTCAACTGTCCAGAATTCTTGAATCAGCAATTTTAAATTTCTAAAATACTTCATCATCCAAAGGTATGTACAATGACAAGATATGCTTCCTAACATCCATATACAGTTTGTAGAAATTTTAAAATCACTAACTAAAAAAAGGAGCGTGAAAGCTTTCATCACAGTGTCAAAGGGAATAAGCCTCTTAAGTTTTATTTACTAGGCTAGTAATGTTTATGTTGAATGCTCAATATTCATGTTGATTTATTAGAAAGGTTTGTTTTTTATTCTTTATTTTTTTGATAACTTCGATGATATAACAGCAAAATAGTTTAATTCAGAAGTTTTATGACACTGAGTTGTAGTTAAAAGCAAAATAAAAGTAGTGTTTCAGGTAAGCCTTACGTTACATTTATGTATTAGGCCTAATGCTTAGACTACAAATAGACCTACTATTACTTGAATAATTGTGTTTCCACAATAATCTGGTTTTCACAATAAACAACAATTATATACCTTTCTATCAATACTAATGATATGGTATTAATCTATCATGTGATTGTTTTTATTTTATATTTCGGAGGTAGAATCTGTGACACAGCTTGTAGCCACACCAATGGGGGAAATGAAGGAAGAACAAGCAGCTTCATTGACAGTGAGTAAAATGCTAAAGTAAACACAAATAGACCTTTTAACCAAACAAACTTTTATTGAACCAATTAAAGAAAAATTCTCAAAGCTTTTCAAAAATAAATCAGAACACATCAATATAAAATGATTATTGCTTAACACTGGTATTTTTAAGGTTTAAATACTTACATATAGTTGCCCAACATTCAATTTGCCATACTTTTATCTGTACATAATATTATGCTAACTGGGCAACTACTGTTCCTCGTTCTGCTTTCTTCCTTTAGCCTAACAGTGGCAAGTCCTAATGAGGCTGGATGAAATCATCACCAACTAAAAAAGCACACAGAATTTCTCCAATAACTTACCAGTAAAGGGAGAGTGGTTTCACAAGCCCAGGCACAAAGAGGTGAAAGTAGTAGAGGATGTGGTGGAGGAACCAATGGATACATGGGAAGACCTGAACCAAATCTGTACCAAGCTATCAGAAAACTCATACTTGACCTCATTACCACATTTATAAGTCCTATTATTTTCTTAAATTTATGAATTTTCCAGTGTTACAGAGGTAAAATTCTAGCTTTGTTAAATTTGACAGTGTTATTGTAAATTGCAATAATGAACTTTTTAATGAATCGAAAGAGGCGAGTAGACAAATTTACCTCAAATACCAGGATGCTGAGGTTGAGCTGCAGATGGCAGAAACTCTTAAACATGCACTGAGCAAGTGTGGTGCATACCTGTTCCTGGTATATATATTGAGAGATAAATTGGTGCACTCATACTGGTCAAAACTATTAACTAATATGAGCAAAACAACATAGCAATTAAAATGTAATAAAATATATCAAAATATATTAAACTATATTAAAATATATGATATAGCCAAATGTGAAATGAATTCAAGACAAAAGTAAAATAGAGACTACAATGACATCACTGCTAAGTCATGTACCAGCTTTGATCTTCATATTGCATGAAAAACAATATTCATATTTGGCACAAACTTAGGTGCTACCTTATTTGTAAAGGTGTTTATAATGATTAATCTAATCAACATTGTTTTGGCATGTAATAATATTATAGAAAAAGAGATCTCGCGAGAAGTTCCATTGATCTTGTAGAGTCCACAGTAAAAGATGCATGTGAGCATGACCCAAGAGAATAAGGCCCAAACAGATAAAAAACCTCTCACACAGGAAGAGAAAGAAGAGAGGATAGAGCTGTAGTAACCAAACCCTCCATGGACCATAAACACAACAGAGAAGGCTGTGCCCTGTTGAGATAGGAAGTGAAGAACACATCCAAATTAACCATATACTGGGTGGGTGTGAGATGAGACTTCTTCAACTTGACTTACCAACCTTGACAAGCCACCTCCTGGAGAATGAGAAAAGTATGATAGAGGAGTCCTGTTGAGATGGAGCTAAAAGAAGTCAGCTATCCATATAATGGTTAAATCTCAATTCCACGCCATGAATGTAACAATTAAAATCATGCACTACGTGACAGAAAAAAACATATGGAGCCAACACCAGGCCAAAAATAAGAGCTTGGAACTGATGAACTTGATTGTGATGTAGAGACTGAAGATGTTGGATAAGTGGAAATGTGGAGATAAGCATCACAAACATCAACCTTGGTCATTCAAAGCTCTGGAGGAAAAAAAACATAAGAGGGTGAGAAAACTCATCACTATAAACTGAGAAAGATCAAGAAATTGATGGAGATGGAACAGAATGATGACTAAACATCAATCCCTGGCATACTGGAGGATGAGAAACAGGAATAAAATCACAGAGTATCCTTGGCCAAAAGGTCTGAGACTAGCTCAGGGAAATGTTGGTGGGAGACAGGATACCCTGAAAGAGGGAAAGAGAGGGAAACAGAAGACAAAGGGGGGAAGAGAGGAAAAATAGAGTAAAGCCAACAGATTGAACATGTAGCTCTTAACAGTCAGTCACAAAAGGAATCCACAGATCCACAAATCAAGCCATGTGGGCCCCCACTGTTCCTGATCCCAGAAGATAGTCATCAACAAGACTGGAAAATGGGAGATAGGGAACAGGATGGAAGAACAGGGAGCAAAAAGGAGTTAGGAGGACATGAGACAGTGGTTGGAAAAGAAGAGACACATGGGTAGTCAAAGAAAAACGTTGGTATGCAACCACAGCCTGTGACTACAAGGAATCAAGTATATAACGTAATTAAACTAGAACTATAAGTTGTGAGCTATTCCTCTCAAAAAGTCCAACGAATTGCAGTTTTGAAAATCTTCTACAACGTTTGTTATTCTATATATGGCTGTGAGGGACAGCTGTCTAGGGGCAATTTTCTTATGGGGGCAGTTGCCCTACAACCCAGTTAAATGTATTTCCAAAGGAAATAAAGAATTCATTTACTGAGAATAAAAATATGTTTAGTAAAGCCCTAAGATACAGTGCCTTGCAAAAGTATTCACACCCCCCCCCATAAAGTTTCACATTTTGTTGTCATCTGAGCTTGCAATCATGAAACTTTCAAATGGAACTTTATATTTTGAACATGCACAATCTACTCCAAACTGAGAGAGTTAAAGAAATGCTGATAATATGTAAGTGAGTTAGATTTTCAAAGGAAATTAGAATAAATTAGAATATTCTCAATTGCATAAGTATTCAACCCATTTGCTATAGCAACCCTAGATCAATTCATATGTAAAAGATTAGTTTGAAAGATCACAAAATCTGTGTAATCAAAGTGGTTTAACTCGACTTCAGAGTAAATGCATCTGTTCAAGCCACAACTCACATAGTAATACAATAAATGAATCATGAAGTCCAAAGAGCTTTCCAAATGGGTCAGGGATAAAGTGGTAGAGAAGTACTGATCAAGAGAATGTTACAAGAAAATTTCAAAGTCTTTGATTATCCTTTTGGATACAGTAAAGTTCATCATTAAGAAGTGGAATGTTTCATACCACCCAGTCACTACCCAGATTAGGTCACACTTCAAAACTAAGCAGCCAGGCAAGCAGGAAACTAGTTAGAGATGCCACTGTGAAGCCAACAGTGACTTTGAAAGATCTGCAAAGTTCCATGTTTGAGATGGGAGTCGGTGTTCATACATTGACAATATCCCTGTCCCTACACAAAGCTGGCCTGTATGGACGAGTAGCAAGAAAGAAGCCATTAGTAAAAAAAGAATCATCTTAACTCTCATAAGGAGTTTGTTACAAAGCATGTAAATGATACTGTAGACATGTGGCAGAAGATTTTGTGGTCAGATGTTTGGTTTAAATTCAACACAGCACATCACCCAGTGAACACTATCCCAACTGTCAAGCATGGTGGTGGCAGCATCAGGTTATGGGGATGCTTCTCATCAGCAAGGACTGGGAAGCTTGTCAGGATTGAGGAGAAGATGGATGGTGCAAAGTTCAAGCAAATCCTAGAGGAAAACATGCTTGAATCAGCCAAGAATCTAAAACTGGGTCAAAAATTCACATTTCAGCATGACATTGACCCGAAGCACAAGGCTAAATCCACACTGGAATGGTTTCAAAAGAAGAAAGTGAATGTCCTGGAGTGGCCCAGTTATAGTCCTGACTTGAATCCAATGGAAGATTTATGGCGAGATTTGAATATTGCACTCCATCAATGATCCTCAACAAACTTGTCAGAATTGGAGCAACTTTGCTAGGAAGAATGAGCAAAATGTATACCATCCCACTGTGCAAAGCTGGTAGAGGCCTATCCAAGAAGACACACAGCAATAATTGCTGTCAAAGGTGCCTCCACCATGTACTGACTTAAAGGGCTGAATACTTATGTAATCAGCAAATTTCAATTTATATATTTCCTTTGCAGGTTTCACTCACATTCAACCTCCTTCACACGTAACACTGTTAAGTTTTAATTAAAAACAAATCTGTTAAACATTTTTTTTACATTATTTGTATTTCATCAAAATGTGACATTATTGGTAGGGAGTGAATACTTTTGCACGGTACTGTATCAAAAGCATGGCAATTAACCATTGCAGCACCATTACGTTTTCAAAATAATAATTCATGGAAATAAATATTAACTTTGTGTGTGCTTGTGTGAATGAAGTTATGTGTTTAAGATGTTTCACTATAAAGTATTCACCAATATATATCTTACGATTAAACAAAAGTTACAAATCTTGCAATTTATACCCAAGCTCTTAAAAGAACTTATGAAATTTGGTGAACTTACTTGTTATATGCTATTTCACTGCAGTTTCTTTGAACGTCCCAAGCCTTAACTAGACCATCCCACGAACTTGAATACAATGTATGTCCACTGGAGATAATGTCCCAGATCCAGCCCTATGAAAATTAATATTTACATTATTAATATCCAAGCTAGCATGAACCTTACACCAATCTTAACACAGAATCAATATTTCAAATTCACAGTAAGCTCTTTACTACAGCTGTCTTTAAAATTATATTCCAATGTTACTGCCTTACTGTCCAAAAACAATTTGATAATTTTTTCTTTATGTATTGCAACTCAAAGTACTGGTTCTAGCAATACACAGACATTTTATTCATTTAATAATGGTTATTGTGAAAACTGAATACTATGTTTCAACATTAGGAAATACAAAAACTCTCTCCTTCATAAATTATTAAATTTTACTTTGACAAGGATTGAACAAAATGCAAGTTGCTTTAAAATTACAAATTCTATGTATCAAATCAGTAAAAAGTAAATTCCATAATCCTTAAACATTTTAAACAAGATAATCTTGGAAGACATAGCATTTTCTACAATTTCAAATCATTATCAAAGGATGATAATGAACTCAAAGATAAAGGTTAAGAATTACTGTGGAAGTTTAGAGCTTTCAGAAATATATCACCTGAACCCAAATATGACAAGAACATTATCATGCCTTCTGTTTGATAATGACAATAATTTTGACAAATGAAACATAAAAGAATTGAGTTGATACATAACATAAAGTGTTCTAGATCAGTATCTGGTAAAAGGTTAATTATAAAGTTCACAAAGAATCTTCAATTTTTTTTCTTAAATAACTATTTTCTGAATTCTCAGAAACTGGAACATCCACAAATAGGCTTGTAACATGTGTAACATCACAACTGGAAATATGTTATTCAAGTGTGGCTGATACATTTTTTCTAACATTTTCAAAAAAACTAGTTATACATTGTATTATTTTATTTCTGTTATATAAGATAGGAATTTGAGAACCAAGGAGACATGTTGTGACAGGATTAACCAACAACAAGATGACTTACAATAGTTTTAAAATGTTAAAATAATCACATTTAAGTAGTTGTAAGTTATTTGATAAGGAGGACAGCAAAAGAAATGGCTAAAAGGTTAAATTCAGACAGAACTTTAACAGAAAGAAAGCAGTCTTTTTATAAACAGCTGAAGTACAATACAATACAAATATCACATTAAATTAAACATTAAACAGCTTCTATCACTGGACCTATCTACAGAAATTATACCTCAAGCTGAATTTAGTACCTGACATAAACCACATTTATGATGTTTCAAATAAGAACTTATGAAATTGAAGAAGTTCATAGATGTGAAGTATACATTGTATTCACAAGCTACAAAAGTAAGGGATCTCGAATTCTTCAAGAAGTTGAGAGTTTGGAAGCTGTTTTTGAATTGCATATTCTTGGATAGCTTGGTCAATCATCTGAACTCTCTCTTCTCCAGTCATGTTCAAGTGATCTCTTAATCAAACCGTGTAACAATTTCCATTGTTAAGCCCACCAGGGTCAATCATGCCTCAACCTCTGAGTCTCAATAAGCATATCTTTTTTTTTCTTTTCTCACACCTGCACTTTAATCTGTGTACCACAGTGAAATGTCTTCACACAAACCCAAAGAATTGGACAAAATTCATATTATACTTTTCATTTGAAACTAATTCTCAGAATACTTAAATTAGCATTTCCAGAGTTTTTTTTTTCAACTAAAGAAAATTCCTATGAAGGAAATAATTAAATATACATTATTAAAATAACCTAACAAATTGCTAAGTTATTTCTCTAATCATCCTAATAAAAACTTGATTTTTTTTAGACAAATTTCTACTTACATGAATTTCTAGCTGTTTTTAGCAAATACTATTAAAATTGATGAATGATATCTCAAAATTATTATTTCCTATTTTTACTTTTGAAAAAATAATAATAATAACCTATGTTATTTTCAACAATATCATAATGAAATAAGTAAACTGTTTCATATAATTATTTGTTCAACTAAAACTTCTTCCTGATCATAAGACATTACTATTAGGCTTATTATATTTTTTAATACTAAATTCTTCATCTAGTCCTTTTGGGACTTTCAAGAATGTAAAATAATAGTATTCCAATCATGCTAAGTTCACCATATCCATTGTCAATTATGCATTTCACTCAATCCTGAGCTAAAAGTTATTACAGTATTATCTCACTGTTAACGATAATTCATTTGTAATTGGTGAACACCAAGATTTTTACTTAAAAAAAACTGCCCATTTGGCTTGAGAAAGCTGAGAAACAATCAACTACATGTGCTTGTAAGATACTAAAATAAGAGTAATGCTCATTGTCAGGAAATTAAAAACTCATGTAAATGAATTTTATGATCTTTTGAATACATAGCAAGTGAGTACACAAATGTAGTCCAAAAACTATTAAAAGTTGAATTTGCCGAGTAGAGCTGATGAGGTGAGTTAATTCTAAATAAATTATTTCTTAACGTCATCTCCATGCACCAAATATAATAAAAACTGGAAAAAGGTGCACCTGAAGAAATCATGAAAGCATCACAAAAAAAAATGCATTTAGGGAAAATTAATTTCCAAAATAGGTTGAAAAACTTGTAAAAGAGAGAAACTCAGAATTTTATCACATTAGTGTTAGAAATACAATACAATTAAACATCCACAGCATGATGTTTTGTTTATGAAAGACTTTTAAAGTTTGCTGAAAGCTTCCCAAATTTCATGAAGATACAATAAGTACTTTCAGAGTTACAGTGTATACCACCATGGTTACAAGGTTCTGTAAAATACAGGTGCTCATCATGATAAGGTTAATGCACAGTTTCAGATGTTTTCTTTTATGGTTTTATTGCACTACTTTGTATCTACTCTGGAACAGAAATCCTTGTGTCCACAAAGTAGCATATAACAGCAGAAGCCATAAGTTTTTCCAGCAGATTGTAACATAAATAGCACATGATGGTAAAATATGATGCACACATATGTTGCTTAGCTCGAGCTTATGGAATTTTAGGTTTTACTTTACTGAAGTTTTCTTAGGTTAAGCTGAGCATTTTATATTTTTGTTACTTGTGTTAAAAAATATATAACAATAAATATAAAATATACATAAAAAAACAAGGATTTGTAGTATACACATTTTTAAGCACTCTCACAAATTTGGTTGCCCAAAAATAATCCATGTACTTTCAAATATGCATTTTAGAGCATAAAAACATATCAATCACTAGAACAGAATGTCCAAAAACTACTATAATCTATCCAGCTTTCTAAATAAGATATTAATAGGTCAAAATAATTCTGTTAGCCATTTGAAGCAGCAGTATCATAATCCCAAACTAAGAAATTTTTATGAACTGAATCATCTTCCCACCAAAACTAAAAAAAAATAGTAGTAAAATATGTGTAGATAAGAATCTAATCTTTCTGTTGGTTATAAACATGTCCATCAACCATGTAAATTTGATAAGCAATCTCAAAAGTCAGAGAAAGATGGGAGGGGCTTCTCTGGTGGATTTGACAAATTAATTGATATTTCAGCAAATCAAGATGAAAGGAGGTTCAAATGTTAAATTCTTGTTTATAATTATTTTTACTTTGTATTCCTAGTTGGTTGGAACAGTCAGCTTCCCATTTTTTTGAAGTGGAAAAATCAGTTTAAATTATGTCACATGACATAATAACATGAAGATTGAGTTTTAAAAATTTTTCTTTTTTTGAAGTTAAGAAGTTATATTTACATAATATAAAAACTTGAATGCTTAACTAATTTTTTTCATGGTAAGTTTACTAACATGAATTGATAATAAAGTTATTCATTTAAATTTTCAAGATAACACTGTAAAAGATTGTGATACGTACAGTTATGACACAGCCATAGTTAAACTTATGGACACCAGAAGCAGTTAATGTAAATTCAATAAAGTGCTATGTTGACATCAATTGACAAATTAGACTAATATAATTTCCAGTTCAACAGTAATGCAGAACTACATGTAAATCACCAGCTAATACTCGCTGTATAAATCATTTATGAACTTTTCTTTTCCTCACTAAAACTCTTAAGCATGACACATGTTAGCTTTGATCCATCAACCCATCTGATATCGAAAGGATGTCTATATAATATAAATCAACTCCCCAACAACAAAACTGCTCGGAATCATTCAAAAAGCAATAACATCCTCAGAATAAGATACAATGAGGGATAGGAAAAAGGACAAAACTGGAACAATCTCCCTTACCTTCACTGTGACCCACAACACAGAAGGAGTGCGATTGAGGGAGGAATATAGACAACCATAAGGATGTGTGAAGACTTATGTCAATTGGTTCGACTCTAAATCCAAAACCCAGCCACAGGGTATTGACGTTCATGCAGGGATAGGATGAGGGTCTCAACTGAAGGGATGAACTGCAATTTGATGTCTCACTTCCTTGTGAGTGTATATTGCATAGTGGAGAATAGCACATCATCTACACCCAAAGAACACCAATGCCCTACTCTGCACTGAATGGTTATAGCCATTTTTGTGTGGAACCCATTCAGGAGTGTGCCTCCACAGTCAACCACCCCAGCAGCTTGGAACTGGAAAGTGGTAAGGACTCCCATACTTCATTAGATAGAAAGGGGGTGAGAATGCAGTGGAGATTCTGGAGGAACGTCATCACCTGAGACAGTGCAATGGGTGACCACGAAACCCTATTTAGAAAAGCAGACTATACCAATTTATTCAATA